TCATTTTCAGAAATATCGTAGAATCTCCCTTTAAGAAGTTCTTTGATGACCAAATTTCCATACTTTAGTCGTGAGTTTACTTGGAAATAATGATGTGTGATGCTTTCCTGAGAAAGCTGGCCTACCACTTTTGAGCACCAGACGTTGAGAAGGGTACTCTTTTCATGTCCGTATTCTACGAGATAACGGATACCCTCCCAAGAACTTGTATCTTCAAAAACAGCATATGAAAATCTTAATGGGATGAACTTTGTTTATGATCACCACCTCCAAAAAAATAAATATGATTCCTGCTCATGGCCAATTTGTATTTTCAAAAAAGAAGTAAAAGTGATGTTTTGATGTTCCACTTCGATTTATTATACTACACATTTAGGTGGCGCACTCGATGTATATTTAAGACGCAAACAAGCAAAAATTTCCAAAGGCGAAAGATTAGCAATGATGATAGGGATTGCAGCCGGAATGGACTACATTCACAAGGCAAATATCATACACAGAGATCTTGCGGCAAGGAATTGCCTTTACGATAGAAGTCATACGGTACGTGAACTGCCTTTGTATAGTTCATAAGCTTTGGGAAAATTTGAGAATCAAAGGGCCCAATGGAATGAATGTGCCAACAGCCACCAGTATTCACGTAATGTTCTAATGTGTTCGGTAGTGACTGACAAGATACAAGAACACATAGGTGGCGGATGTGAACGTTCGCTGAGTGTGCCTTCTTCAGAGCTTCGCTATATTCAGCGATGTGTTAGAGTAGCCATCTGAGGAAGGTTCTGGAAAATAAGCCTGACTTTACACAAGGACAAACTGCTTTTTTAATCCATGCTTGTGAAGAGCATTTGGAAGAATTTCAATAGAAACGGATACTAGTAGTGAACAGCTTGCTTTAGCGATTTCAGGTGAAGATCGAACTGAGGAAAAAAGCTGAAAAATCAGGAGTGATGGTCACCAGAACCATCGCTTTTTAATAATCAAAAATGTCCTAGAGCTGGAAACTGGAACAGCATACGGTACTGCGTTCTATGCTCCCAATGTAATTGCAACCCCGCGGCTCTCGAAAGATGAGCGAGGGCACTTGATTGTAGCAAGGCCTCAAGGAAGGAGGCGAAAATCTCGTAACAAGCAAATAGAACACCAGCATGCTATATAGAATAAGCAGAATCTTTGATTAGGAGTGAAGAGTGATATACAGGGGGGGGCCAAAAAAAAAGACATTTTGCCTCCACTTCCAGATGGATTTAAGCACATTTTACTCAACTCAGACCGAACGGTTCCAACTTATTATTAAAGAGTGCATTCCATTCTATAAGAAAATCTTCATAGTGGCCACGTACGTGGACGGCATCAGAAGAATTAGCCCTGGAAACATGGTGCACTGGTCGATCTCAATGGGGTCTTCGAAGGATCGTGTACCATAACGACCCTTACTGGAAAGCTAGTTCCGAGGGGATTTGCACAGTGGTAGCTAATGCCTCTAGAAAACTATCCAACATTAAATCGATTTCACTCTTACGAAATTAGCTAACGACGCTTCAGCTGCGTGCTTACGGTAAGAACTCCTTGAAGACGTTTGGCGCCGCGTGACCAGATGACGTCATATTCTGAAGACGGTGAGGGCAGTGAAGGAGAGCCTGCGTACACTAATAGAGGAACACTTAGGGAATACTCTGCTGAGGAACTCCCGTCAACGACAGCAATCTCTGCGAAGAAAAAAGAGCCGAAGTCCGACATAGGCAAAATGTCTTTTTTTTTTGCCCCCCCCCCCCCTGTAGATCAGCCGTCTTTTATAGTAACAAGGATCCGACGGCTGCTTCAAAAATGCTTTGAAAGTTCACTCATTCCGCTGTAGCTCACACAGACAGTTTCCTGGCCGTCTGATTGCTCAAGGAAGGTAGTAAAGGTAAAGGCGGAGGTCACGTTGACCTTACCTTGGTGCGTTTTTGAAAAAAGTTGAACGAGTGAAGCTCACCTTTAACCTCAGATAGAATGCGAGATCTAAGCCACACTTTTTGTGTGGCCAATAAGGTGGCACGAATTATATGATATCAATTCTGGCAGAGAAATGGAAAGAGATGAGCAGATTACGATCTATGAGCATCACCTCCGCATTTGACTATAAGACTATAGCAGTTTACTACCGTCCCAGGTCGAGATAGTATTCCCTGATGATGATCACAAAGGAGGCCCAGGTAAATTACGAGGAGAATGAATCACTTAATCGCCAACAATGTAAAGCTTCTGGTTCAACGGTGATCTCGTTCGAAGATGTAAACAACCACATTTGCAGATGTACAATAATCGAATGAGACCGGCTTTTGCAGACTCCACGTTCATGCTAAAAACAAAAAATTCCCCTTTTCAGGTGAAGATCTCAGATTTTGGTTTGTCGCGGCCAGGAACGGTGTACAAGATGAAAAGCGCACAAAAGATGCCGATTAAGTGGATGGCGCCTGAAAGTATTCTAACGTTCACATTCACGCAAAAGACGGATGTTTACACGTTTGGGGTATTTTTTCTATACGGCGTTTATCACTAATAACCAAAACTAACATATTAAATGTTAAGGTTCTAACGTATGAAATATTTGCTGCAATTGGTCCATACGACGACATGAGGAATAGTGTTGTAAAAAAAATGGTTGGTGCTACTCATTATTTCGTCTCGTGCTATTTCACGGAGCGTTGACTTGTTAAGCAAGGAGTAATGTGGAAGTAGATCATACTTGAAAGTAAAAGGTCTTACGGGTCATGCTGCAATTTAAGACGCTGGAGAGTATATCTCGCCTTTAACTGTTTTTATTCTTCTGGAAACTGTCCCATACTTGAAGCCGGTCTAATAATCATCTCCCTTCAAGGCAGGTGGCACTTGACTGTACTGAAGAAGAGCTGCAGTTCCTTCGAGAAAATTCCGCAATTCCTCCAAGAAGCGAAATGCGGCGTTTCGCCAACAAAGAGACTGACGTGGCTGTCTGGCAATGCCTTTCTCATCCCTTTAGAACACTCGTCCCTCTGGCCATGCCCCTCACCCGCCGGTTGGGTACCTAACCAACTGGTTGCCATCGGATTCAGCCGTTGTAACAGAAAGGCAGCAAAGAGTCCAATTTTACGGGCTCCGAGCCGTTCCCTTAGTCCGATTTCCCATCACTGCACCCTTTACCACCTCCAGATTTCATTCCCATCAGCGCACAACCTTTGACAACACCTTCGGTAAGCAAACCAGTTGTTCATTTCAACAAGATTTTCAGATTGTTGAGGGCAAAGTGAATCAATTTCCTGCATCTACTCCAGACTATGTGGTGAATTTTGTGAAAGAAAGGTTATGGTGTAGGGACCCTGACAAACGACCTGATTTTTCTTCGGTAAGTGTGTGTTAGAGTGTGTTAGTGTAGTCAACTTGTTAGCCAATTGACGTCAACTTGTCGCGACCCTTTTTTCACCATATTCGTATTAGTTCCGTATAGGGTCACGAAAATGACAATCGTTTTGGCAATAGCGTGATTCAACGAATCCGTATGAATGGCGTAGATTCACATTTACCCACTAGATTTCATTAAGACTCCGAAATGAAAGCATTTTTCACAATGCTTCATGACAAAATTTCTAGATATTAGCTGAACTGGAAAAGCTGGCTTCTGAGAATGCCGAGAAAACTATTGATGTCATAGACGACCACACATCACAGGCGGTGAGCATGCCCAACATTTCGGTTTTGACGAAAATTAGGATACTATCTGTTGGCACTAATGGGGCTTTTTAGATGAGTGAAGGAAAAACTACAGCGACGATCGAAATTGATGTGACAACCGAGGCTAAGGCTAAGAAGCCAGCAAAAATGGCAGATTCATTGAAGAGTTCAAAGAAGAAGAAGGAAGCTGATACACCAGTCAGCAAAGAAGCAGCTACACCTGTCAGCAAGGAAGCGGCTACACCGGTTAGTAAGGAAGCAGCTACACCAGTCAGTAAGGAAGCGGCTACACCAGTTAGTAAGGAAGCGCTGACACCAGTTAATAAGGAATCATTGACGAAAAGACTTCAAAAGAAAAAACGCCACCTCCTTCTTCTGGAAAGAAGACCAGTGAGACGAGCCCGGCCGCATCAAAGCTGGTAAATCTGTGTTGAAAGAGTGTGAAGGAACCACAGAAAAAGGTTGGAGTAGAGCCTTCAGCAGAGGCGATGATGACCACACAAATTGATATTCATTCACACCGAGATAAAGAAGATTTTAAAGATGTGGAAATAAGGACAAAGCCGGTTTTTGGCAGAAGATCTAAATTCAGTGAGTATCTTTGATGTTGAGATGAAGGCTAGACAAAAAAAAATTGATCAGGTTTCCTACGACATTTTTCTGAATTTGGCTGAAAGCCATGTCATTC